GTTATGTTATCCGTTAGTTTCGGGGAATTTCGGTTACAGATATTAAAATATTAAGGAATTTCAAAAGTAAAATACAAATAACTAATATAATATAACGGTTTCATTTATACGCCACGCCCCTATCCGATAGTATCCGAAACTTTTATTTCAAATTCTGTTACAGTTATGGATATTTTATATCAGAGTGCCAAGCACGAATAACCATCGCATTCGTAACGTAATAGTATCGAGCGCGTTCGGCGTTCTGATTGGCCGGCTCAAGTGAACCAACCAATCAGAACGCTTAACTCGCTCGATACTGTTACGATACGAATGCGATAGTTATTCGTCAGATGACCGATAGTTTTAGTTAAGGTTATGGAGCTCCCTAACATCCCTGGTACAAATCTGAATATGTATGAATTATAGACAGACATAAATAAAAAATGAATGCCCCTTCGTTAGTCTCGCTGAAACTCGACAACGGCTGAACCGAATGGGCTAACTTTGGTCTTGAAATGTTCGTGGTAGTCCAGGGAAGATTTAAAAGAAAAAATTGCGGCGATACGAAGTTTGCTAGGTTAGCTACTTATACATAAAATCTGTAATTTCATCTTAAACACTTTTACGTAAAAATCATCACAAAAATGACCTTTGAGTATAAAGTTTTGGATCCATGCCAGAACTGGACAAAGAAAGTAAGGTCCTAATTGTTCCAATTATTTTTAGCCATCAAAAATCGCAAATACTTTATTTTATAAACGACATGTCATTGTGCATATCTGAATACCCCTGCAGTATTAAAGGGCGTGACGTAATTCACAAATCACAATAAATAAGCCCTTGTTGGTTCAATAAAATGAAGTGAATTGCTCCGTTAATTTGCTTCCAAGTATAACTAGTCAAAAAGTCCACCAATAACACACACCCCTGGTTTGATGATCACATCACATATCGTTATCAATCGTCAACATCACCATCATCATTATCATTATCAATTATCTTCGCAATACGTTCCGATGCTTCCTTGAATAACTGTTCACTTAAACGTGGGAATTTCGTTTCAAAATCAGACTTCAGGGTTTCAAGGTCAAAACGATCTTTTTCTATTTCTTCGATGGTCATCTGAGACTTTTCATACTCTTTGAATTTATCTAGGTCTAGATTTGAATCTTTTTTAATCTGTTCTAGACCTTCGATGGCATCGTTAACCGCATCCAACAGTTGTTTATGTCCAGACACTGCATTGTATCCAAAATCTACATTTTTGAGTTCTATTTTGTCTAAAAATCTTTGTTCCGTTGAGTGAAGATCTTCGAGTAGGTTTTCTGCATTTGATTTGTCAGTTGCTTCAAATATTTGCGTGTTGACTTGACTTTTTAGGTCGAGCAGCCTGAAAAAGGTATGTAAGAATTTAATTATTGAGACAAATTGAAAAATTTTGTTAAAAATATGAAAAAAAAAGAAGTAACTTCTCTGTTTCTTTCTTATTGGTAGTGAAGTATATCTACTTTATTTCTCTCTAATTAGTATTGTAGTATGACTAGATGTATGAATATGACGAAAGCTATAGAAGTATGTAAGGAGCGTAGTAGGTGGCGCTCTGTAGTTTCTGTATGCCATTAGATGTATGAATGTGATGGAAGCTAAATAAGTATGTAAGGAGCATAGTAGGTGACGCTCTGTAGTTTCTGTATACCATCAGATGTATGAATGTGCCGGAAGCTAAAGAAGTATGTGAGGAGCGTAGTAGGTGGCGCTCTGTAGTTTCTGTATACCATCAGATGTATGAATGTGACGGAAGCTAAAGAAGTATGTAAGGATTGAAATGCCTAGCTACAGCTTTGTAGTTTCTATACATAATGAAACAAAACAATTCTTGTGTTACAAATTCAAATAGTTGTACGATCAAACCTTTTAGACAAAGAATTATTTAACTTAGTTTTGAGACTTTCAGCGACAGTTTAATATATTGTTTGACCTGATTTAAATCCTCAAAATTTGTTCATACAAAGTAGTGTCTAAACATCGGAAATAAGGTATATAATGGAGTAAGTGGAGTGCAGTAACCGATGACCACTTGGGGATTGATCAGATAAGATCTAGTATCATAATAGAATCTACATATGGCATAACTATAAAACAATCCTTTTAGAACAGTAGTAGTTTGAGCACTAGCTTTCTGACCGGAGGTTTTTAATTTTTTTTTTTTTCTTTTTCCTCAGATCTACAATCAGCCGATACGGCTTTAATCAGATAAGATGACGTGCTAAGAGGTTTTAAATGAAAAAGATGCCATTAAACTCTCTAGCTTCCTCACTATCTCCACACACATTCATACCTTCATTGCTCCGTGCAACGTGAAAAAAATATAAACAACCGAACACAATATTAGCTTGAGTTACTAACCTCTTTTGTTCAGCAACAAACGATATATTTTTCAATCGCCTACTTGTTTTATCCAACTGATCCATAGTTTTCTGGAATCTATCAGCTAGTTGTGACATTTGCAGATCGATCACAGTCTCTTCGCGGTCTATTTTTTCATCGACTAGGCATTCCTCTAGCATAGCGCGCAAAAATTTTCCATAGGCAATTTGGCGGTGTTCAGCATCAAAATCCGGGAACCCTTGTTGTTCCAACTTTAAAATTGTTGCATCAGGATCAACTGATGTCATGTTCGCATTATTTTTCTTCGTCCGAGGAACATTTTTATTGTCTTTAGTAACGATTTTTGTTCGCGATGTCGTTGGCACGCTCACAGTCGTCGGACGCTTAGCTTTGACCGTTGTTTTCGATGTTACAGCCGATATTTTCGTTTTATCGGCCATTTTTTGGTATTTAAAATTGTTTTGTTACAATTTATTTACGATTAGCGTTCAATAACAGTTGAAATTGAATGGATTGACGTTTGATTTAAATGGCTGTCATTGTCATGGCAACCGTGAGATCCAGTTTCGTTCGGAAATTACAAAAAAAAAATTGCTCAGATTTTCTCACAATAAATCTTTTTATTCTTGATAATATACTCGAAAGTAACATCATATTTGGTAATTTTTGTATCCATCATTATAATCATATCTATTTATAGTATCACAAGTACTAAATCGTGACTTGAGTATTCTAAGAACAATGAGTCAATAGCACTTTATGTGACTTAAAACCGCTTAACAACACGATAAGTTAAGTTTAATGATTAATTTATAAATGAATCACAAGAACAGCGCTAAATAAAAAGAGCAACTTTCGCAAAGAGAACACGTCTGTAAAAAAAAGCTCAACACGTTGAAAGATCCATTTCAGAACGAATTCCACAATAAAAAAAATCAATCGACTTTTTTTATTTTTAGACCTAGGTCAACAAGTCAAAATTATTATATACCTAATTCAAATAAAATCAATAAATTGAGATGATAGGGCGGGAATTAATAACAATTTGAATTATTAATTTACTTTTACATAACAATACTTTCCCACGGTCTTTGTTATGCATAAAAGGTTATAAACTATTATGTTTTCTCATAACACATTGTTCTGGGAAATCAGTTAAACACGAAACAGCCTACAAGATTCATAATGCATTTCATTCCGCAGATTTGAAGACAAAAGAACTTTAAAAATAGGTTTCAAAAACAAAGGTCACTGACCTTTTGACTTTTAAAATATTCAAGTATTTTTCATTTCTTTAAAAAGCTAACTAAACTTACAATACACAACAAAAATATTTCTTTTACTTCTCATTACAAAATTTCATAATCATCGTACGATTACAAAGAAAATATGTATGAAAATTGAGTAAAAACATACCATTCTCTGTATACCAGCTACCAGCGTGCGAAGCGTTGCGACAGGACATCTTCGTGTTAATCTGAACAATCAGATTTAATAATGATTAAAATATAAATAAATAATTAAAATGCTAACTTTCACAATCACAAAAATAATACTTTGACTTGACGTTGATGTAAATACACCACAGACAATCTAAAATTCTGTTTATTTTTTCTTTATTTGGATGTGCGTTTACAAAGTTGTTATTAAAGTAAATATTTATAGTTTACGGTCTTGATTTTCTTCGATTCATTGTAATAACTCACCTTTAGTTTCTTGAAATTTGACATACTTGTTGCAGTTAATATAATGAATGTCAAAAATTTAAACATATTATTGTATTTTCTGTAAGGGCTACGTTCTAAAACAAAAAATATTCACAATATCACCAAAATAGGTATTTTTACGTAACAAAATATAAAATTTTACTGTATTCGATGCTTGCTACTTACGGCTTAAACAAGATTTCTTGAAAATTAGACTTATTCGCAGTTAAGTCGATCAGAACATTTACGGTTTTTACACCACTGATTGAACGAATGGTAATAATGATAAGAGAACGATTACCGGTTGTCCAAATCATTTACCATTCAACCACTTGTCAAAATAATAATAATTTGTCAATGTCAATTAGGGTTGCCACCCGTACTTTATAATAAAGTATTGTACGTTATTTAAGGTAATTGTACTCTATACTTTATAAGAATAATAAAGTACACAAAAATACTTTATTTTTGCAAACTTCATTTCTATTAAAGTCGTAAGTATTTTTCGGTAAACTTATCGATTCGATATCGATATTTATCGATTTATGTTGAATCGATAACTTGCCAGCGCCACTTAGACAATTTCTAGTAAAGATGCAATTGTCTAGTATTTCAATGCAATTGTTTAAAGGTACTAATTTAATACAAACTGCAAAAAGCAATAAAATATATTTTTAAATATAATACTAAATAAGAATAATTTGTACTTTATTTTTGTACTGTGTACTTTTTTTTTCTTACCTATAATCGTCAGTGTACTTTAAATACCAAAGAAAAAGGTGGCAACCCTAATGTCAATACTCCGGTAAGGAGTGAGTGTGCGGAAATAAGCGATAAAATTCCAATTTTTAATGAAACAATAAACTTATTGCATTTATTTTAAAACATTCGCTGTTTTTTATAACATTTTATTCATATTTATATAAGTGTCTGTCAACAAAATGCTACAATCTATTTGTGAGTATCGAAAACGAACAAACATTTTCATTATTTATTTTTTGTTTAATTGGAAATTAACATTCACATCCTCAATTATGTTGGTTATATTTATCGTTCCGTTGTTTGCAATAACAGCTGTATCAATAACTGTTTGTTACAGTCCGATAAGCACGGTTTAAAAAAATGACCTAAAAAAATATTGTTATGTAAAAATTTCGTAATATAATTCTTTTTATTGGAATGTTTTTAGTATTTTATTTCGTAAGATTTTGAGATTTACTATTTTTTTGTAGAAATATAGAAATTATTTAGAATAACTACTGCTTTTGCTAAGTCTAGGACTTGAAACAAAATTATTTACGAAGTTAGTGATTTTTATCTTATTAGAATAAATATAACATAACGTCACCACGCCTTTTATCCCCGAAGGGGTAGGCAGAGTTGCACATTACGTCACTTACTGCTTCTGTACAATGTAATAACACCCACTTTTCACTATTTATGTTATGAGTCCCATGTAACAGGGGTGAGCCTATTGCCATATACTGGGCACAATTCAAGACTCTGTACTACTACTAAGAATTTTGAAAAAGCCCTGTAATACTTTACCCGACCCCGGCATCGGACCCAAAACCCCTTGCACGGCAGTCACCCTTGTGAGCACTAGGCCAACGAAGCAGTCATAGAATAAATATACATAATATAATTAGATACACAACCTTATTAGCTCACATACTGTTACAGAAATACTTGTCAGGTATTATTTGTTTGTTTTTAAAAGAAACCTGAATAAATATTCTTCTACTTTTACTTGCTTGTCCAGTGTGATTTCGTCGGCTGCTCAGAGGTTTTTAAGGTAATCTAAAGGGAACAGCGTTTGTCACTCTTATTGGTTGGTTCATTGGTGCTGGCCAATCAGAGCGCCGAAGACAGCCTCGTTTCGATTACTTTAAGCATAAAACTAAATGGCACTAAACTCTTTGCTCCTATTGATCGTAGCGTGACATTTTATAGCAGAGGTCCTTCCTTGTAAAGATAAAGATAAGATAAAGATAGTTTATTTGCAAATATGGGTAATACAATAGGTACATTGCGAGCTCAACCATATTTTACCAGGAGGTATGCAAATATGAATTAACAGATAATTAAAAGAATAAAATTATCTAAAATAAAATCAATATTATGCAATGTACTTATTAAATTGATTACAGAAATTAAAATAGTCGCATTAACAAAATATAGGTACGATGTCAAAAGATTAAAGTTAAGAAATGTCATAGTAAAATAGATGAGATGTCCAAGTTATTTAGTACCTATTTAAAATATTATTCTATTCCATTGTCCATTAGAAAATCTGCAACATTGTAATATGCCTTGTCAACTAATAATTTTCTCAATTTGTTTTTTAATATTGACATACTCAAATTTCTCCAGGATTTAGGTAATTTATTAAAGATTTTAGGTGCCATGCAACAGACACTTTTGCCCATTAGTGTTGTCTTCGCTCTTTGAAGACATAGTTGACTATCGTCTCGTCTACTTCGTGCTACTACGTCGTTCATTTTCTTAAAATAATGTGGATTTGACTTGACAAACATAGCCATTTCCATTATATAAATACACGGTAATGTTAAAATGTTAAGTTCTTTAAAATACGGGTAACAACTATCAGTAGTGTTTAGTTTATACATTGACCGAATGCACCTTTTTTGGGCCTTGAATGCCATATCTTTGTCGGTTGAATTACCCCAGAATATAACCCCGTAACGAAGATGGGATTCAGCTAAACCGTAGTAGGCGGTAAGAAGCGCTTCCTTAGAAACCTTCAACGATAATGCATGTAAGGCATATGCGGATTTACTTAGTTTCTTGCAAACCTTGACTACATGTGATTTCCAGTTCAGATTTTGATCTATTTCCAAACCCAAAAATTTAGTGCTTGCAACTTTATCCACTACTTTATTGTTATAATTCACGTTGAGGTTTTTACTGGGTATTCTTTGGCTAAAATGCATTACGCTTGTTTTTGTTAGATTAATTTTTAAGTTATTGTTATTTAACCATGTTATGACTGTCGCTAGAGCATTATTAATATCATTTTCATATAATTTAGGATCAATGCAGGGTATAGTTATGGTACTATCGTCGGCAAACAGAGTTAATGGTTGACCAACGTGTTTCGGAAGGTCATTTATATACAATATAAAAAGTAACGGCCCCAGAACGCTCCCCTGTGGTACTCCGTATCTAACTTCACGTTCAGACGACCGAACAGATTACTATTAGTTCGTACGAGTACGTTGTACAGATTACTATTAGTTATTGCAAAAACTAGGGACATTTGTAAACCATGTTTTGCAAATCATGTTATTATTGTTATTATTCTTTATACCATGACGGTGGCAAGAAAAGCACACGGCCCACCTGATGGTAAGCGGTTACCGTGGCCTATGTACACTTGCAACACATGGAACATGAGCTGCTGTTCAAACCTTTTTCCTTTAATTTCAGGTCGCAATGCCTTTACTCGCATATCCAGGACAGTTTCCTATGCAACTCGGATGGCTCACGACCAAGTCAGGAAACCAAAGACAGCTATAGTCATGTTAAATATGGGCGGTCCTACTAATATAGATGAGGTGAGTTTGGATGCAAATTTTTGGGATTTGATAGTCTTTCAATTACTTCTTCCGCCTTGCGAGAGGAGGGAGGGAGTGTCAGACTTCCTAACTATACAGCACCTCATTCCTACTCCTGCTTTGAGTCTGAGTTCCAGTAACTCGTTAGGTCAACTGCAGCTCCGGATACAAAAGTCAAAGTAATTTATTTCAATTAGACCAGAAAGGCACTTTTGAACGTCAACAATAAAATTAAAAGTGAAGCTATTTGCTCATTCCAAGGTGTTTCCTATGGAGAAGAACGAGCAAGAAACTCCATAGGTTACTCTTTTTCAATAAGGTTCACAATACATGTTCACAATGTTCACAATACGATGTGATTGTAGACTTTCACGCCTGTAGAATAGTTTTTTTTTTAATGTTGCCCCACGCTACGATTTGCTCTGACTGCGATTTGCGATGCGACTTCGTGCGACAAGGCTTTTCCCAGGGTGACCTTAAATCAGAGTTCATCTCAATCGCGATTAACGATTTCACTCGACCCGCAAATTGAACACGAATCTCCCTGCGGCTAACGAAGCTGACACTAAATAAATAAATGCTATCTCAGTATGACAAACAAGATTATTGATATTAAACCATTGCATAATGTAAGCAAATAATGATTGGACAAAATGATGATAAGAATGTAGTTTTATAACAATATTATAGATATATGTCTTATAATGATGATTATATAAATAAAATAAATAAATAAACATGATGACTAAGTATATCATTTGCTGAGACACCACAACTGACCGATAAAGTATTCTTGGTACAATATACGCAGGGCCATCTTAGACTACGTTGGGGCCCCTTTTTTTGAGGGGGAAAATCATCCAATGACTTCTCCCGTCTTAGGTTAGGCGGGGGGGAGTGTCAGACTCTTACTGACTAAAAACCACCCCGTTCCTTATCCTGCTCTTCGAGTCGGAGCCCCGGCAACCTTTTAAGCCTTCCGCGACTCCGTATCGGGCATAAGCCCCACTGGGGCCCATGCCAGTCCCCATCTGTGGTGGTCTGATGGCTCTTTGAGGCACGCGCGGAACGCGATGCGTCTTGCGCACCGGTCTTGTTCTGGTTGGGCGGCGAGCTACCCTTGCTCGCCGTCCGCAAACCCGCACGGCCGGAAATCGTCGCACGTCTCCCGGACGCAGAGAGTGTCTCCCGCGACGGCTGGGGCATAAGGAGGTTCGTTACCTCACACGCCCCGCTTCGTTCTTGGCTAGCATAACAGCTTTACAGAAGAAGGAGGAGACAGCATCCCAACCCCCCTCGCTCCGTGCCATGGCCTGAACCAGAGCCGGACGCGAAATGTCGCCGTCGCCGATTACATCCTTAAGGACAGGGATGTAGTCGGGGACTACAGCTGCAATGACAGCGAGCCCAACGCTGGGGTACATGGACACACAATACAATTTCACGCCAGTGTTCTACTCGGCCGTGGTATCTATCACTCCGGTCGAGCCAGCCCATTCGTGCCAAACCATGGGTCTCCCACGTGCGCATAAAAATTGTACAATAACTAAGGTTTGTCCATGTTTCCAGGTAGGAGACTATCTTCATCGAATCATGACGGACCGTGACATGATACAGCTGCCGGTTCAGAGTAGACTAGGGCCCTGGATAGCGTCCAGGCGAACAGAAGATGTACAGAAGAAATACAGTGAGATCGGGGGCGGATCTCCTATATTGAAGTGGACTAATAGCCAGGGTAGGTGCTATACAGCTAATGGATTTAAGAATCTTTGATGTGCAGATTGTACATTTAGTACTGCTTGTGCCTTTAGGCTTAAGTCATAATGTCGCCAGCATTAAATTCACCGAGGAATGTGGCAACTATCGTTTTTTCTTCTCCTCTTATAATGTCTTCTGATTCACTTCGTTGTGGGAACCAGACAGTTATTCATGTCCCTGAGACGTTGGACTTCAGCGTTCCGGTGTTTTCATGGTTGTATTTACTGTAGATCCTGACTTACATGAGTTGCGGCGGTTTTGGGAGGATGTGGTGGGCTAGTCCCATAAAAAAAGGTAGGGTATAGCACTCTATACCCTACCTTTTTTTGCACTAAACAACCCACTGGTTGTTTTCAATTTTACAGCGGTTAAAGTATTTGGATTGTACAGCGAAATGTGCAACTCCTTAACCAATTCGGCACTAAAGGCCCGATATTTAATAAAGACTCCAAAAAAAAGAAAGAACTTAGCTAGGATGTTCTTCTTTTTAATAAAATTTTCCATGTAATTTCAGGGCATCTACTAGTAGAAGCGTTAGACAAGTTGCACCCAGCGACGGCGCCTCACAAGCACTACGTATGCTTCAGATATGTACCGCCTTTTACGCACGATGCGTTTAATGCTATTGAGAGGTACGTAAAAACATAGTTTCATAATATGATAGCCAATAGGCTAGACTGTCTGTACATGGGTCGATGTATCAGTATCTACTCAAAATACACCTCCAGTCATGGATCGGACAAGGGTAGTATAGATGCAAATTCGCAGCGCAAAAAATTTCAATGCGAATGACTTCTCCCGCCTGGGTGAAGCGGGAGGGAGTGTCAGACTCTTATTGGCTAAAAACCACAACGTTCCTTCTCCTGCACTTCGAGCCGGAGCCCCGGCAACCTGTTAAGTTCTCCGCGGTATCGGCATCAGCCCTATTAGGCCCCATCTGTGGTGGTCTGATGGCTCTTTGAGGCGCGCGCAGAACGCGACGCGCCGTACGCTCGGGTCTGGTTCTGATCGGACGGCGAGCCAACCGTGCTCGCCGTCCGCAGGCCCGCGCTTCCGGTGGACGGAGGTCGTCTTGCGATCCTCGACGCCCGAAGTGTCCTTCGCGACGGCTGGGTTGTGAGGAAGCAGCGCTTCGCTGCCTCACGCGTCCCGCCTCGTCCTTAGCTAGCATGACTGCTTCGCAAAAGGAGGAGACGGCATCCCAGTCCCCCTCGCTCCGCATCATGGCCCGCACTAGGGCCTGATGCGAGAGGTCACCGTCGCCCATGCAGGGCATTCTCCTACCGTGTGTTCCACCGTGTCCTCAGGGCGGTCCTCGTAGTGATGACACCCGGGCGTGTCCACCCGCCCTATCAGACACCTCCACAAGGTACCTCCCGAAACTTCCATGTCCGGTGAGGACCTGCGTCTGGTGGTAGGTGAGGACGCCGTAGCGTCTCTCAAACCACTCCTCAAAGAAGGGACCTACCGCTGCAATGACAGCGAGCCCAACCTTCGGTTCCGGCAGTCGTTGCTGCCATTCCGCCATGAGATCGTGAGATGAGAGTCTGGTCGCTATGCGCACATAGCGACCAGATTGGCGATATATTAAAGAAGGGCCAAATTAAAAGTACCCTTAACCGACGAGCATGCATGAAAAGATTGATGACTGTTGATGAAGCGAAAGAGGTATGTAGGAATCGTAGTAATTGGCGTTCCATAGTCTCTGCCTACCCCCAGAAGAGGCAGGCGTGAAGTTATGTATGTATGTTATATTGAATCTCTATGACTGGATTTTTTGGTGTTACATTGTTATCACACAATCGAACCAATAAAACTATGTAAGTGGAGAATTGTATTGTAAACATGATTGAAAAAGAGTAACCTATAGAGTTTCTTGCTTTCTTCTTTCTTCTCCATACTCAAACTCAAAAGCATTTATTTCAATTAAACCATAATTTGGTACTTTTGAAACGTCAACAAATATGAAATAAATATTAGTCTGTCAGTCTGTCCGTCAGTGAAGCTAGGTGCTCGTTCCAAAATGTAGATTCGAATGGAGAAGGACGAGCAAGAAACTCCATTCGTTACTCTTTAAAAACAAAAAATAAGAATCTACACCTTAGAATGAGCAAATGGCTTCACTTAAATTTTTTATTGACTTTCAAAAGTGCCTTCCTGGGCGCTTACTCACTCATGAATCCAATTCCGACTGATCGACATTGGTATTGTGAAATTTCGTACTTTTGAGTTGTAACACTAGCGCCCATTGCATCCGTATTGCGTGGATATTTCATGAACTAAATGCAAATGGTATTGAGTTTGGCTTTATACTCCGTAGTCTGAATGCTATTTAACAGCTACGATAGTGGTTGTATAGTGTTGACATTGGATAATTATTGAGATTTTATTGGATTGAAATTGCATTGACATTGAGATTGGTTTCAAGAGTAAGCACCCAGGTCTAATTGAAATGAAAAACAGAAAGAACAAACATTTATTCAGCACCAGGCACGATGCAGCATAAATAAAATATAAAAAAGACAATAAAAATTAAAACAGAAGAATTAGAAGAGAGACGCTGACAACATGCCTATGCTAAAAGGGTCACCCACTCAGTGTAAGCCAGGCATAGCCAGGCCAGCACTGATTTTCAGTGGGCATCCATGCAGTAAATTATTTTAACTTAGACTTTATAGATTACTAGCGACCCGCCCCGGCTTCGCACGGGTGCAATATGCATGTATTATACATACAAACCTTCCTTAAGTATCACTCTATCTATTAAAAAAAAACGCATCAAAATCCGTTGCGTAGTTTTAAAGATCTAAGCATACATACGGACATACAGCGAAAGCGACTTTGTTTTATACTATGTATTGAAGAAATGTCATAAACTTGGTGTCTATAGACTAAAAATTTATTTTTGTCTATATAATTTTGTTC